ATAATAATAATATCAAGCCCAATTGAAACCTTAATTTCATATCCTCAGTTAAAACTACTAGATGGGAGCCGGACTCACTCATAGGGTGCCATAAAACTTTTGCTATAGGACTTGATCCGACAACATGATAATAAGTACCTATTTTGTAATCTCTATAAAATATATACAGACATTAAATGTAAATAAATCAAACATAATTGGGAAACATTATATAATCAAGAGAAAAGACTTTCTTGCGGCGACTTCTCTCACATGTTGAAACAGAAGTAGATTTTGGCATGACTACCACAGAAACTTCATAATCACCGGCAACAGCAATTAAAGTTCCTTTTTCTTTGAAATTGACAGTAATTGATCTTATATTATATGTTATATAAGGTGTATCGAGAGTTACATATTTAACATTATTAATCCATTCAGGTAAATATTCTCCATCGTCAATATCATCTTGACCTAATTCGTCACGCTCGGCAGCCTGACGCCAAGCATACTTGAATTCCATTAAATTCAAGACTCTTATCTCAGAATCTACAGCCACTATAAGGTTTTTACTAATTGAAGCAGTTAAACATGATTGTTTTCTTGGTGTATTTTCGTATGATTTCGATGCTTTTTAAATAATAGATTATAAATTTATCAGAATTTTTGAGATCATAAGGCTAACTAAAGTAAAGAATCTTACAGCCATTTTCCAACTGTTCTACTTCATTTGTATGAAATATTGGATGATATGGAAGAAAATCCGACCAATTAAGCGTATCTATCGGATCTTCCTCAAAGTCACTATACATGAGGTATTGAAAATATTTTGCTCTGGCGTAAACGAAAATGATTTTGACAGTCAAATAATTTGTATGTCGAAAATTCCCGCTCTTGCTCAATAAGGATATAATGTTAATTTTTGTAGATCTACCGTGATAATTAACCAATCAAAATACATAATTTTTTCAAATTATCGTATACTAAATACTAGAAAACGAAAAAAAAAACTTTATATAAAGAGGCTTATAAACTGATAATATATGCAAAAGAATTATCACACATATCTAGAGAATAGATAGACACGTAAATGTGATATTTATTACTAATAGATCCATACTCATTAAAGAATTTACAAGATATAACGATAAACCATAAATTTAATTTAATCCAAACACATTACAAGAACCGATCAAGTTTAAACATTAATCCGGATCTTCTACTACTAAAATTAAACAATCATTTTAAAGTGGATAATCAATAAAGAGGTTATATGCTAATGAAATTAGTATGAAGAGATTGATTATATTTATTCTTCGGGTCCTCATTTCGCCATACCGTCTGCCATAAATCATCCATAATTTCGACACCCATGTATAAAAGAAAGGTACACTTTGAGGTAAATATGGGGTCGTCTAAGGTTGTTCTCAAGCAGCTCCCTCGATGTAATTTGCAAGTGATCGAGATGCTTTCGATTAATCGAAATTAATTGAAGTGATCCCGTAACAATTTTGCCGAAAATTCATTGTAAATTTCAGCCAATCGGAGTAACTCTATGAAAAAAAGATGGCCGTTAGCTCCAGGTTTTTTTGACCGAAATGATTAAACCCGATTTATTTTTTCAGCCAATCGGA